CGATAATACCTCAGCAAATAAGCCACACCAAGAACAAGAGTATCTCATATCATCAGGGTCGAAAGCAAGAGTATCCCATATCATGCTTTCTCCCTATCTTTGTCTTTGTCCTTGTCCACACCTGCAGGACAAGGAGAAAGAGAGCAGTCAGTCGGAACCTGAAATCAAACCTCCAATTTGGAACTGACTGCCTGGAGCCTTTGCCTGGTTGCTTACTTAGCATTGCTCTCGAGTACTCATCCTCAACTGCTGTCAAGGTCACGAATTCCACCGGCAAATACCTCATGACAGTTGATCAGATATTGGCTCTTTACACTGAAGCTGCCAAGCGTGGATGAGTCACTATGAAGGAATGTTCTGAAGGACCATTTAAATGCAAAGGTTGCACACCACTTCTGCCATGCAAAAGATTGAAGCAGAAGGTTCAACGGTGAGCTGAAACAGATCACTACAGCACGACACCTTTCCATACCACATTCATTATTCCGTCAACAGCAAAAGTATCCCATATCATCAAGGTCGAACGTACTCTAGATTTGATGGACTTGTTTTGACCCTCAAATTTTTGAGTCGGCCTTATACTCTGAAGGGCACCAGAAAACCCTCCAGCACAGTTCAAGAATAAGCCTGTGGAAAGTTACTTCTTCAAAAGCAAAAGTATCTCATATCATCTCTTATCCATTTGCTTCTCCTTATCCTGGCAGTTGAATGAGAGACAAGGAGAAGGAGAACAATCAACCGGAAGCCGAAGTCAAACCTCTGATCCTGGGTTGCTTACTTGGAAGTTTGACTGCTTACCTTGTCTGTCACCTCTTTCGGCAGATCTCCTAGCTCGGCGACTTGGGGGACTCCTACTATATAGGGTTTGTATCACACTTGACTAAGCCCGAAACTACAACTAAGCTTCAAGTGAAATTGATACATTACCTTGTGCGTCAACATCAGCTAAATACACCATTCCCGGATGGAGGAAAGGTACTTCCAGAGAAGAGTAGATGAAGATCAGACCACACTTCGGTACTTAGAAGTTTCGTGATTACTCAAGGGATTGGATCTTGCAAGTCCCCAACCGAGGAGTTTCCCTCACTCGGGAACTTAGGGGAACACTGTTTGTACCATACTTGACCAATCCCGAAACTACCGAGCACCGGCCAACGCTATACTGTCAAGGACCCAGAAGAGTTCCCCTCCGACCAGGAGGCCAATCACTACTCGACACGTGTCAAGATTAGAAGCCAATCAGAGCGCAGCACGTGTCGACATCAAGAACCAATCATAACATGACACATGTCAATGTGACAAAGCTACAAGTTTTTCTATAAATAGGGGTCATTCCCCCACAATATGGCCTAATGCCATTTGTGTTAAATCATTCACAAGAACTCACTAAATTGAGAGCTTGATCCTTTGTACTTGTGTAAGCCCTTCACTACTAATAAGAACTCCTCTACTCCGTGGACGTAGCCAATCTGGGTGAACCACGTACATCCTGTGTTTGCTTCTCTGTCTCTATTCATTTACGTACTTATCCTCACTAGTGACCGAAGCAACCAAGCGAAGGTCACAAAACCTGACACTTTCTGTTGTACCAAAGTCTTCGCTGATTTTGTGCATCAACAACACCGAATCTAGACTTGTCTAATTATAATATGGTGCATTTATCATATTTAATTCAAAGATGATTCATGTTTTCATTTAAGTTCATGTTTAGTATTACATTATGCTTAGTAACCTATTCATGGAAGGTTGAAGGTTGTAACCTTTTCATGAAAGGTTGAAGGTTGTTCCATGCCTAGACTATTTAAAACCACTACTCATGCATGGAAATGGATCATTCAGAAATTAAGAATTACTTTTAAATTTGGTTTAGTGACGAATGTTTTTCTTCCTATACGTAAACTACTCTTATCTTTTTGGTGGATTCCTTAAAGTGACGAGTTGTTTATCTTTGAGTGTTCACTTGTGGTTTCTCTTTGATCTCCATTATTTGGTGTCGGTGAACCAAGTTATTTATTTTTTGCGTCACTCCTTCAACGCGGGTCCCGAGAAATCCAGCAACTGTTGATTACGAGGACAGACATGCATCTGGAGCAATGGATCTGAGGAGAGTTGTGAACCTACTTCTCCTAGTGGATGCCGCCCCGGGAGGCGGAGGAGTGGCGACTCATATATAGAAGAATGAACTCTTACTTGAAATTCCTAATACAATTCTTTTCTTCCCGATAAGTCTTGTATCAACATTGCATTTTGGGGTGCATTTTTAAACACATAAGAAGTAGTACGAGAGTATGACCATTCTACGGAACATATGTACAGAAACACCTAACAAAGGCAAAAGGACGAAACCTAACCTTTCACCGAGGAGTGAGGAATAAAATGGGTCTCAAGGGATTATGACGTGACATGACCACAACATTATTGCCTTTCCTATTGGTCGCTGTTGACCGTACCCTGAACTATACCGCGGACAATACGTTACCCCACACGTACTACTACAATTTTACTACGTGCAGCTATACTACTACAAACGACGTCAGTGGTAGAAATGTAATTTTGGACCTTCACCACCATCCTGTTGGGTGTCGGCATTGTTTTCCTCTTATTTTTCTTGTTTTGGATTTCAAAGCTACAGTGCTAGATATTATATATATTGTGTGTGTGTACATTTTTTTGTTCTTCTTGTTGGTGGATATAAAACAAATCTCCTTGAATTAGTCCTCTAGTTTTGGTTATACTTTTGGCTTTTTAGTTTGAGTGTTCATAAAATACAGTTAGAACTTGGTAGTTATAATGTAGTTGCTTGCTTGCTTACAGCGAGGATGTTTGTATATATAGATAGATGGTACAGAGACGGATCTCGGAGTTTTATTTTGATTGGGCGAGGTATAAAAGCTTGGTGTGGTGTTTTTGCCTAGTTTACTTGTTCGTGGGAGGGTGTTAGTGATGATGGCTAGAGGGATTGAAGAAAGAAGTTTGGATAGAGAAAAGAGAAAAAACTGAACAAAGGTGACCAAGACTCGTTGATTTCTGTGGTGGGGGTGGGGCGGGGAAGCCGACGGTGTGGGAGGAAGACTCGTTGATTTCTGTGGTGGGGGTGGGGCGGGGTAGCCAACGGTGTGGGAGGGGGTCGTAGGTGCCTGCTAGGGTTGTGGGGGTTGTTGGCTGATATATTATTCTTTATTGCTTCATTTTTATTTACACTTCACACACAGTTAATTGGGATTCAATCAAGTGGATATGTGTGAACCTTTAACATTGACGTGTCATATCTTAAAACATTAGATTAATAAAATGGTAAAGATTTAATGAAATATGAGTAAATGAGGAACATATGATGAATACGAAATGTGTAAATGTAGAGATTCGAAATTCTACTGTGACTTTAGGTAATAATTATCACTAATATTAAATCAATTAAGTGGTAGGAATTTGAATTCTAGCTAAAGACCAAAAAGTCCAAGTGGAGAATATTACCGTCCCTTTCAAGCTTTAATCGGATTCCTAATCAAGGCCTGTTTAGATTTTAATATCCAATGAAGTTTATATACGGTATTTAACAAGAAACCAAGATTCTTAAGTTTTTCCTTTTGTTTCATCCTCTCAAATTATTAGCAACAAGAAAATTAAGAAACCTTTTCTTTGAGGAGTGAGCATGTTATTAAAAGTTCTTCTAACATTAGAATATGCATAAAGATATTTATTCTGCATGCTACCTCTATATGATATAATGATCTAAGTCAAAATGTAATAAAATACAAATATGGTTTATATATTATGTTTAGAACTTACTCATCTTTATTTCACAAGATTAAACACATGAACTTTAGTTTACCATCTAAGAGGTCTTAGGTGAGATTGATACCTAAATATAAGAATTAGCACCGTAATTTTTTTTTTTGTAATACACTATTGTCTCACTTGTGTGAGGTCAATACGAGTGAGTTATATATTAAATGTGAGACCATTTTACTTTTTCTTTTTGCATATTTTATGATTGGTCTCTTCTTTTCTCTCTTGTCATTTATTGTATTATTTATATTCATGAGTTCAGTATATTAAACTCATAAATAAGAATCACTCTCATTACACTTAGATTTTCCAGCTCATTGTAGGAGCTTGATTTTATATTATTGGTCGCATTCTCAACTTTTTTTAACTCAATATGAAAGGCTTAGTATAGATATCGATGTATTAAAAAAATTAGAAAAATACCCTTCTTACCTTACATTGAGAAAAAGGTTTTGCAAGTGAGAATTAGTAGGAACATGACAACTAAATTAATCCCTTAAAAGTGCGTTTATTTTATTTTATATAAAACTTATAATTGTTAGGGTATTTTCTAATTTTATATCATTTCAATCGTAAATATAGATTTACATAAAATTATACAAAAAGGCAATAATTAAAACTATGAATTTTATTGTATTATTGTGCCGTGTGGAATTTGAAAACTTTCAATTAGTAGTACGCACCTCTCAATCAGTCAAATCTTTAGTACGAGAAGTTTCAAAAACATTTGGATAAGAGAAGCACCACCGACTCGTGTTACTTATCAAGTGCATTGTATAATTACAAAACATGCAATCGATCTTTTTCTCCAGAAGCTGGAGGAAGACGATAGGTAGGAGTTCAGTTGGGTCCCTTTGAGTGAGCCGAATTAACGACCTAATTGTATGGCCAGAGTTGCAAAATTTTAAGATTCAAACAAGGTGTCTTGCAAGCAGATCACACCCCACCAAATTCGTGGGTCCTCAGCACGTTCTTTGATGATCAAGTTTTGTATTTTTTTATTTTTTTTTTTGTTTTGTTTTGAAAGAGAATGAGATTTTTTCTTAAAACTAACACAAAATACATACATTATTGCTAGTCTACTATAAATCTTAATAATATGGTGTGTTTTCAGTATGGGAAGTGTGATCAACAAAATATGAAATGTTAATAAAACAACCTATTAAAATAAAAGAAGTTTTCTATAATTTCATGCAAAGCATAACTTGTCACAGCCCGTTCCAAATTATTATATTCGTGGCTGTGAATGGACGAAATTGCCCTTAAGAAATACTAAATTTGTGAAGCTCAGGTTGCTAATTATCTAGGTTCCTAAGTTTGAAAATAAAATGGAATTTAATAAGGATGGAACTTAGATTTTTAGGTTAAAATGTTAAAGTTTGGTGTTTGGAGATTGGAATAAGGACCACGTGGGATCCCCACATCCCTCAAAACCCTCCTCATTTCCCGTTCACTGTCTATCTCTCTTCCCTCACGACTCTCTCTCACTCTCAGTTCTCTCTCTTCCTCTCCGACGCTCAACCTCACCCAAAACCACCTAAAACATAAACAAACGTCCAAGATAAGACCACATTTGGACTCCTGGAACTTCCACGATCACGTAGACATCAATTTCAGGTAAGTTTTGCTTCGAAAAACCCTAGTTTCAAAGTTCCCGTGAAATGGTATTGTTCATGATCTTCTAAATGACTACGTTTTAGGCTAAAAAAAGATCACAGCGGGCTTAGTGAGGTCCCAAGGAAGCTCGGAGTGCTTCGTTGGAAGTTTTTGGACGTAAGAACACGGAGATTGACAAGTTCAAAGTTTGGCCGGAGCTTTTCGAGGAATTTTCCGGCGAATCCCCGGCGAGTTAGGAGTCGAGGTAGGTATCAATCTCTTCGTCTCGTCAAGTACTACAACTTTCCTTTTTGTTTCACTCAATTTCGTTGAGTATTGAAGAAGTTATACTTATTTGAAAAATACCCAGTTTCCGGCGACCTCCGAGGCTTTCGAGGCATTTTCCGGAAAAAATACGGCTAACTAGGTGTTTTGCAAGGTACCATTCTCTTTGTCTTTTCAAGGGCTACAACTTTCGTTTTTGAATCACTTGATTTCGTTGAGAAAATGACAAAGTTATGGCAATTTGAAAAAACTGCCCGGAAAACGGCCGCCGGAAAAACCAGTCCGGCGACCCAAGGAAGAAGAAGGTGCTACAGTAAAAATAAAAAATAAAAATAAAATTATTTTAAAAATATATCGACGTCCGTGACGTCGAGTAGATCACTGTGGTATATTCATATACCTAAATTGAACACCGTATGAGAAAGTTATTGAGGATTGTTGGTTAGGTGTTCAAATAACGTTTTATAATTTTCACATTTAGGTGAAAATGTGAATTGACGATCCGACCGTTGGATCATCACCAAACTTTGATACGTTATAATACGTAATATTTGAGGATTATTGGAACTTACAGATTGGGAATCCGATTTGCGGATCTTCCGGAATTGGAATTGTAAGTCCATAATATAAAATGTTAACCGTCACTTAGTTTTGGAAATTGACGGAGATCCGACCGTTGGATGGTAATGAAATTTTAGGATGTTGTCCTAGAGGTATAATGTGGACCTCTGGAAGTTATGGATTTAAAATCTGAGGGGTGGATCTTCCGGATCAATCTACGTAGTGACGTATTTTATATAAGTTATATATTTTATCGATATGAATTCTGAGGTTGGAATTGATTATTGTTTTAGGCGCCGATCGTCATGACGCCTTGGCGTATTGTGCTAGGGAGTTGTAGGGCGAACTCCAGGTGAGTGGGCAGTTTTGTTTTCCGTATATATATATATATACTTAACGTTTTCCCAGAAATTGAAAATGCATGAAAATATGTTTAAAATGAAATGCATATGAGTTATGTGGAAAAACGGGAAGTGAAATACCATGCATAGAATTGATATGAAAAGTATATAGAAATGTGAGTTGAAATGCCATGCATGAATTAATATATGATGCATATGTATGAATTGGTGCGGTGGACGCACAGGTAAGAATTGATTTATGATGCATATGTATGAAATGGTGCGGTGGACGCACAAATGAGTATTTAATTACTATTATGATGACGATGATATATATTGAGCTCAAATCCTGCACCATGGTTTAGTGCTTATAGTATTCACCGCATCGCACGCTCGCCTTGGATCCAAGTAGATGCTAGTCGTACAGTCCACGCGGAGTGGGTACGACAGACCAGTCGCGAGAGTGTTAGTGAGATTCCGACTGGTGGGTGACCTTAGATTATGTGCACAGATGATTTATGAGAAGCACTAGAGCGTAACTTGTGTGCAGAAGGCCGGACGGGTCACAGAGGTGACTCCGGTAGAGTGATAATGATAGATTTTGAGCTCTAGGTTCAACCGTATAGGGCTATTAGAGGGCCTACGGTTGATTACTTTCTTGCACCTGATATGATTATGTTGATGCATTCATACCTTATTACTGTTGAGATGATGTGGCATGGCATGATTGATAAAGAGATAATGTTGAGATAGTAAAAATGAAGTTTTGAGAATATATATGTATATTTATATTTTACATTTCTGGGAAAGTATACAGGTTTTACGGAGAGGGGTTACAACGTTTTGAGAAATGTTTGGATTTGGAAAAGAATTGTTTTACTGACCCACTCAATTTTGGTTTTGCGCCCCTCCAGGTTCAGGAATCACAAAGGTGTGGTGACTACGAGGAATTCGACGGTGTTCTGACAGATTGGACAAAATTAGGACTCACCTTCGGGTGTATCAATTTAAATTGTATCTTAAAGCTTCCGTACTGTGCAAATGGTTACGTCACTCTCACGTGACGGCCAGCATGCCCTCCTTCGGGACGGGGTGTGTCATAACTAGTCCATCTTGTACGTTGTACAATCTTTTTAAGTAGCTTAAGATAAACTCGTTTAATTTTTTAATTCTTCAAAATACATTTAACTGTTAAATTCAATTATATGCGCTATACATTGATGTATTCAATTTTCATAGCAGAATATCTAAAAAGTTTGTTATGATTTTTAACTTCATTTTCCATTCACAATAATAATTAGAGAGTTTTAATAAAACACTCTAGGTACTGTTCATTTTTAACGAAAATTTTACATTTTTACCTTTTCCTGATACCATTTACTTACACCTTATTTGTCATTTTTTATTAAAACAAAAGTTTTTTTTTGAATTTTTCGTTAGTTTTCCTTAATAATTAACACCAACCATAATTTTTAAGTGAATAAATACTTAATACTACGGTCTAGTGGCATTCTTCTTTACCTGTAAGTGAAAGATTTTAAGATCGATTCTCGCCAAAAGAAAATTTGAACCACTTTATTGCTAACCCATTGTGAAACCAAGCTCACCATCTCTTAATATAAATAATATCGTTTATTTAAAAATAAAAACATTTAGTATTTAAAAATAAAAAATAAAATAAAAATTAATTGAGTGAAAGAGGAGCGTGCCAGCGTTAAGCTTGTAGGGCTTTTGATATCGATATTCTTCCTCTGGGGGGAAGGAGGACAAGCGATAGGTGAGGCGTCAAGAGAAAAAGCGACAGCTCACCTCCTAGATTTGTGGGTCCCGATCAATTCCCCTCTCTAGATTTCCTCGTTTACCTTTTTGACGCGACGTGATTGGAATATGGGCTCCCCCCACGCTCGTCTCCACACGCGCGTGGCCCCAGACGCTCATCATTCATCACCATCCAGGGTAATCCATTGCTCTCTCCTCTACTACATACCTTTTTGCGTTATGCATTATTCTATCTCCGAGATCAAATCTTCTGCACCTAAAATTGTATCATAATTATTGACTCACATGTACTTATAAAATTCAATTTTCTTAACTGTATTATCATAAATTTAATATATGTCAAACATAATTAAGACCACAAAGATGCCACGTTCATTTTAAATACAGAAGATGTGATCTCCCCTTCCCTTCCCCTTTCTTAATAAATTCTCCAAAATGGAGGCAGATTGTCTGCCCTTCCATTACCATGCCCTTCCCATTCCCTCTTACATTGTGCGGTCACGGTTAAGCCACGTTAACATTTTATATTGATTTTTTTATAGAGATAATAAGACATGTTAATGTGGCTTAACCATGACCGCACAATGTACCATGACCGCACAATGTAGGAGATAATGGAAAGAGCATGGTAAAATGAGGGCAGACAATCTGCCTCCCTCCAAAATATGTGGATATTCTCACAACTCATGAAGGTTGACTCGACATGAACTTTACCTAATATTCCAAACAAAAAAAAGTGTATATTTCAAGAGTTTTCAATAGAAGAATACTTGGCTACTCAAACTTGTTGGTTGTTGATTTATAAAATTTCGTGTTTATAATTGAAACCGTTTATATTATAAATCATTCTGTAAAAATCGCATTTGCAAAAAATCAATTAAAACTAAGGTTGTTTAGTCATTAAATTGTATCAATACAGATAAATGGAATTGATAAAGGTACTACGAACTTTCTATGTATATGCTACAATGGATTGACTAAATAACTTTAGTTTTGATTCATTTTTTTCGTGATGATCTTTACAAAGTGTTAGTAGTTGGAACAAGGATAATCGGTGGACCACATAGTGAGACGGACCTAAGCAGGCTACTATAATTTGTTTCTTGATAATTAAGGTAAAATTTCATCTCAAATTTCTTACACAATTCTAATTCTAAACTAAATTAGCCAAGGCTTTTGTGTGCATGCAACTCTTATTTCCTATTGGTGATGGTGATGATGGAAAGAACCATAGCCCATGCTCAAAAAGCTTTATTAGAATTGATACAAATCAACTGATCAAGCCCAAACATTTGTCTTGCTTGTACAAGTGCATAGGGGAATAGTGAAAAAGCACAATGTCAATTTGGTATGACCAAAACCCCTAATTTCTTCACTAATAAGAAGCATTCACCCATATGATATTGACCTATTTTGTTTATTGTTTAGTTAAAAAAAGTTGTGTTACAACTTCATGTCAAGTGTTAGTCAACTTCGAGCTGATGTATTTGTGTTGAGTTCGAGTACACCTTTAATTAGACATGATAGAAAAACGACAAGACGACACAATTAAACTTTGAAGCATATGATCCTAATTGGACGATTAGAGTTTACACTAAGCAAATGAGGAATATGGAAAAAGTATATAACATGACATGCAAATGGGCAGGCAAAGACTAACAAACAGATGATTAGCATGGAGCCCATGTGTTAATCATGATTAAGTGTGGGCTGTAACCAAGAACATACACTAATTAACGAAAACGAAAGGTCGAAAGGCCGAAAGGGCACTTAGTTAATGATGACGATTAGCATAATTAAAAAGGATTAGAACCACTAGTGAGGACTGTGGAGGGAGTGTCCCTTCTCAAAAATATGATCGCATCCAAACAGCATACAATGCTGGAAAGACACAAAAACACAGAATCAAACATAGTTGACCAAATAGAAATAAAAATGGTGGGAAGGGAGGGGGGCAAGGCAAGAAAGCAAGCATTACTTAGATTTGTTCTTGACCATGTTTTGGGTGACAGAAACTGTCGTCATTAGTAAAATCTGCTTTGATTAGTTCTGATGTTTTGCTGCCAGCAGCATCCCTAATCATTTCTCCATCATCTCTTGCTTTCAAGTCAAATATTTATATATATGTATGTATGTATGTATGTATGTATGTATATACAGACTATACAGTAATCAAGGTTTGTGTCCCGATTAGTCAAAATCTAATTGGGGACATAAGCAGAACCCTAATAATAATGTGTCTTCGTTTAGGTATTAGTGTCTGCATAAACCTGCTTAGGGTTTATACTCAATGATCAACAAATAAATAATAAATGATGTATTTCTCTTTTATATAAATAATACTCTACTTTAACGAAAATCAGGAATTAGACTAGACCACAATACGAGTTAGTTACAGTTAAAAATCAAATTAAACACAAATATTATACGTTAAACGTTCTCATTAAGAATCCGTGCATATATATTTTTAATGATTTATTAACATATTTGATAATTTGGGGTCCAACTAAGAATCTGTGCTCATACCTAATGGGTCCACTTCATAAACCCATCAACTTTGACCCCTGAAAGCATGAAATGTTTTTAATTAACTTGTTCCAAAGCTTTAAGTTTTGGTTTTTGTATATTGATGGCTGAACCTAAACAGAATAAGTGGGATCCAAATGATTATTATATTTAATTGAGTGTTAATGTGAAGCAAAGAAGAGGTTAATATAATTAAAAGCACTTTTAAGATCTTGCAGAGGCATCAGATAGATAGTGTAGGCCAGAGGGAAATTCATTAATTTATTAAGGTGAATTTCAATTAGCTAAGCACCTGAGCATCTTGATTAGCAAATACTTAATTTGTTCTGGAAGTCACTAAGTGGGCAATTTGCTGACGTAAGAGAATCTAACCTGATGCCAAAACCTAGAAGAGCTTTTGCTCTCGTGATCCAGAAATATTTTACTTTAATCATCACATTTTACGCAATATTATATATCATAACATATACTTTGTTATATTATTTATTCATGCATGAATTAGTATCTGCGACGTTAAGAAGCTAATAGTCAAAAGTTTCTCCTCGTTGTTTATCTGTGTTCTTTTTTGCTGAATATTTTAATATATGTTTTCTTGCACGGAATCGTTGAAGACTTTTTGGTTTTTGTTACTGAAAATTATGAACCGATTCTTTTCGATTGGCCTGGCTTTTTCTATACAACGTTGGACGATCCATTTATATGTGGGCCGGTGTATCTTTTAAGGCTCACACTTGCATTGCCCCTGAAGTCATGGACATAAACTAGTTTGTCAAACAGTATTTCTGGTTTGGAAAAATTATTATGGAAACTTTTAATACAATAGAAGTGTTTTCAATCCCTTAATATTATAACACGTATATTAGTACATAGAAAACCCTAAAAATTCATCCCATCATACCACATCAACCCATGCAAATGGGATATAACCTCTCAATAACGAGGTGACAATTTTTTTTTCCTTCTAAAAATGAAAAAAAATGATGCATGTCTCACTGAAGAAGTTTTTATTTTTTTTAATAAACGATATTATCTACACTAAGGAGGAGGGGTGGGGTTAACTTCATTATAGACTAGCAATAACGTGGATCGAATTCACATTTGGCGAGAATCGAACCATGTCTCACTAAAGAAGTTTTAGTTTTTTTTGTTTTTGTTTTTAATAAACGATATTATCTACACTATTTACACTAAGAGGGAGGGGTGGGCTTAGCCTCATAATGGGCTAGCAATAACGTGGATTGAATTCGCATTTGGCGATAATCGAATCTAATACCTCTCATTGAAGAAGTTAAGGCTTCACTGTAAAACAATTGGTAATATAGGAAGAGTTCAACTACTTATAAGCACATATAGAGTTTCTACTTTTTTCGATGTGGGATTCACTCTCAACACGTACTTTCATGTGTGACAAATTTTTAAGTCTAGCATGTGGACAACATAGATTGGGTGGCGTGGAGCACGTGTGACCAGCTTTGATAACATGAAGAAATCGAGGCTCCACCATAAAACTAATTTGCAATATGGAAGAGTCTAACTACTTATAAGTACATGTAAGTCCCTCCTTTCCACGATGTAGAATTCATCCTAAACTCCTGTGAGAACCTGTATTTTTAAAATATAGAACAAATAGTATTTTAAAACTACTATGATATTAGTTTTTTCATTTTGCTGTCAACTTCTAGTCGATAGTTTCTTACAATTAGCAAGGTGTAGTCTTGCAATTGAAGTCTATCCCATTTTTCCTGGAGGTGTCCAACACTGAGATGGCATCCTTCATAGTCCAACACGCAGCACTTCATTTTCTTAACAGCTGTTATATTTACAACGAGGTGTGAGGTTTTGAGAGATTCCATTGACACCACCAGCTTCCACCATTGTTGGCAAAGCCACGTGTGTTAATTCCAAGTCATCTACCCCATGCACAACGACACCTTGAAACCCACTTGTCAACTGGCCATTCGTCAGTTACATTTCGATCCCTAGATATAATATATTTTACACTGTAGGGAGCCGACCCTTTCTATTATAAATAGAGGTTGCATTTCATTCTTTTATTCACCATTTTTTAGGAAACATATGTTGGCTGCTATGAAGCCATGCATGTATGTCCGTGTATGTGTGCGTGTACATATACACACACACAAGTGTGTGTGTATACATTATATATGTTAGAGAGAGAGATTAGAAAATAAAATAAAGTAATACATGGCATTAGAAAGTGATCAAGGAGCTTGCTCAAGTATGTGGAACTTAACTATTTTATAGTGACGTGGATAAGTAAGTGGAGCTTAGCTATTATGGTAGTTCCATGGATCTTTGTTTTATCTTGGAATCCAGGTAGGGGAAATATGGCAGACCTTTACGGAGATTGGCTTTATTAAATTTCATGAAGTATTATATTATTATTATCGATCTTGTATCTGGTTTACTAATTGGACAAATACTGCTCTTGCGTGTTTACTTGTTATTGGTTATGAAATTATTGCTGGAATGCTATTCGTTGAGAATATACTGTGATATATGTGAAAGATGAAATGACATTATTTGTGCATAATTCATGTTGATGTGGCTGGAATTTCAGTATTTAGATTGGAAGTATGGAAATGAGGGTAGTTGGAAAGGATCTTTTGTGTAGTTGAATCTATTCATTGTGAAACCAGTTCTAGGCGAGCCCGGTGTGCACATTAGAATAGGATCGACGGGAATTGTCAACGTGGGTGATTTGGGCTGGAGATCAATGAATTATATAAGATGACTAGCAAAAGGGGTTTATGAACTTGGGATATCATATGGGGGTTAGTTTCTATAATAGAACATTTGAACCACCTCTGCAGGGGTAAAATGTATGGTATGAGACATGCAGGTCTGCGTGTTTTATTATATAAATTAACGGGGATTACCGAAGGGGTTGCATTGCATTCATGCATTGTTATCATTTATGATTTGATATTTGGCTATGTGATTTCATGACACTTAATTTAATATTGTCAATTTACTGTGATAAAGTTATGTCCCTACCGAGCTATGCAGGTTTAAGAACTAAACAGTAAAAAAGGGTAGACGGGATGAGATCGGATTAAGTGTGAGGATATAATTTAGTATTTATTTATTTTAGTCTTGTAGAGAATCCTGAATTATTTTTATAAGAGGAATTTCATATTTTTCCACCTAGCTTCACTTTCCTTTTATTTAATTTTACTTTTAGCTTGCGCGCCGGATTCGGATTCGAGATTTTTCCTATTGACCTCGGGTCCGGGGGTGTGACAACTCCATAAATGGAAAATTATTTTTGTATATTATTTTTCTCTTTTTACAAACCTCTAGTTATACGACCGATCATACTTAATAGAATAAAGCTTTGTTGTCCTTTGTGTTTTTCTCTTTTTACAAACCTCTTATCTATATTTTTCCATTGATTCTTCTTTGATTTATTCCATCTAAAGACCAAAAATAAACAGTGTTATGCTGAGAGAAAAAAAGGCGTGTGCGCTTATAAAATTGTGTGAGAGAAGTTTCCCTACAAGAAATGCACGAGGAGTTTCTTAGAGTTCCAATCACAATTCCCTTTGATCATCAGTAACTTTCATTCATATAGAAAATTGTGTAACTTTTGTCTAATTTATATTTAACTTAGTTTTACTGCTGGACTACATATTGCACGCACCTACATCTTCATCGCCTACTTCTCTGTGAATCTCAAAAAGCCAAAATCTTCCAAAGAACGTAATTTTACACGTCTTCCTCAAAGTCCATCAGAAAATCAGTTAAGTTCTCTGAATCGTCTACAGCTTCTTCCAAAGACATGCCGTCGTTCTTTTTCGGTTTATCCTGCAGGATTGAGAGAAAAAATTACTTGGGAAATACATTTGCTTGAAACGCATAAGAAATGGTAAGCATGCAAATGCAAGTTTAACCAGCTAGCGTTCGATAATCTTTGGTTGCTGTGCACAGAGATCCCAGACCATCCACTACAATACAAGTACGTCATAAAACCCGATATTGAAATAATATCATATGGCAACCAGACATTTAGATAATGACATTTGGATATGTCAAAACCACCAAAAGTTTTAATACGAAAACATGCCGCAAAACTGAGAAATGAGAATCACCTTTGACTTGGTAAGCTCAGGAGTAGTTTTCAAAACACTCCAGTTGCGTGTGATTTTCTCTCCTTGTTCATCAACCTCGGTTTCACTATCTTCTCCTTCATCCTATTATAAACAGTGTCAAATAAGATTTCAGTTTCATACATAACAACCATAACTGGATTACAAGTATGCTGGATAGCTACATTTAACCAGCATCAGTGTCGGTGTAAGAACATGCAATATGGAACTGATGTATCTGAAGCAATTAAACTTACATCTTCACCGATGTCAACTGCTTGTGCCATTGCTTCTTCTATATCAGGCGCCTGCCATATAAGAGTTAAACAAAGAACAGCTGGATTAGATGTTTTGCTTCCACACATTCTATTACGATTCAAATCTTCCAATCCAATAAAGTTTTTGGCAATAAGCTACAATAGACATAATTTGACATTTGGTTGCAGACATGATCAGTGTTTATTATGTCGTCATTATATCATCGTTGTGTTGTTGTTATGTCAGTCATGATGTGTCATCGGGATATCATCAAACTGTTGTTGTTACTAAAAACCGATCATTTCTGCAAACCAAATGTCACAATATGTTTACTGTAGCTAGTTTCCCTAAAGTTTTGTACATTTACTTTAGGATTATAACCAGAATATGCAGCAGGTCTTTAACGAACAAGGGCAGGATCTCATATATAAGATGCTCTTTGCACTATAGGGGTTGAATACGATAATGGTTGTCACTAATTAGGAAAGGCATTGCCCGAACTCAGGATAGGTATATCGTATCGATGCTGAACTTTTTATGAATGCATGCATGAGCCTTTGTTTGTCAGTACACTCCACATGTGGAATCGTTGCACAGCGGAGAGGTGGCAAATCAACCCATCGGGTTGCTAATGCTTAATGGGTAATCATTAAGACCCATTCAATTTGATTTCACCCCAATGGGTTGATTTGCCACCTTAGACAGCCCTTTACTGGGAGTTTACCACCCAGGCATTATGCAGTGAACCTATCTGTTGTGTTGATTTTTAGTCCAAATGGACAAAAAATGACGCATTTAAAATCCATAGTATCACTCAAGGAGCTGACCCAAAGCTCACAAGGAGAAGAGCAAGCTGGAAAATTGATAACTTGGAGAAAGACTAATAAAGCTTCGTTGAACAATGGAGTGGAATCGAGAGAGTATTTTCATATGATAACAAGAAATAGTTCACTGTGTGCACATTCTCTGTTATTCGAGTTTCTAGACAGATAGTTCATCAGACTAACTAAACTTTACACAGTCAATTGATTACCTCAAGCTCTTGAGTCTTCTCTTTTGACAGAATTTTCTCAAGCTCCTCCCTTGATATGATTTTTTTGTGCTGATTACAGAGCAGGAAAGTAAGAACGTAAGTAAAAAAATAATGATACAGCAGATGCTGTAGAAATCCAGTAAGCCAAATAATAAAAAGAAAAAAAAAAAGGGGGAATGTGAAAAGTGCTGACCTCCTTCAGAAAAGACAGCATATCTGGTGTCGGTTCATGAAAATCCGCGCCTCTGTAATCAATCACTTCATCTGGATCTTGAATATAGTTCACAGTTGGGTAAACAGGATCTCCGCCCCATACTGCAAGGCCAAATAAATTAGTCAACAAACTAAACCGCATCATTAAACATGTTTAATGAAACTACAGTGTAACTGGTGAATAACAGATGACAAACTAAAGTACTGAATTAAAAATGTACAAGAATGCATCACTTATCCATTTACGATAAAATGAATTAGAAACCTTTTTTAAATGAACTGAACTATCTCAGGGGTCGAAATGATTAATGGTGATATAAAGAACGTATTTCATGATAATAATGCACAAAATTATCAGCTTTAGAGTGAGTACTTTGCTTTATTTGATCCTCTCGCATACGCATTGCTAAGGGGTCCCTACGTATACGGGTATCTGTCCCCATCATTATGCGATACTCTCGATCTGTTTGATGAGAAAACATTTCAATTAGTTGGGTTGTTTCATTTTCACCAGTCTCTTCATAATGTTTCTGAACAGCTTCTCGAGAAGTGTCCCTTTTCCACGCTTTTACCCATTCCGAATAGTATGCAAGTGGACCTGTTCTATCCAGTCTCTCTTGTTCCGCTTGAAGCCTACAAATTCAGCAGTTACTTGAAAATTCCATATTAAGGAAAAAAATACTCCATAGAACTTTTAAGTGAATATTATAAGGTCACAAGGCAATCGCTACATGTAAACAAACTAAGACAGAGAAGCAGGTGCAAGGAAAAGCCTAACCTAAATAAATCCTAAACTAAGACACAAACCACTCTAAGTTGACAATGCAAAAGTCCCAAGAGAGACTTCCATAAGCAAAGGATTCGAAAACCAAGAGCTGAGCACTGGAACCATCCTTTCCTCTCTTTAGTTTGATTAATGTTTCTCGATCGTTATCACTCTCCTTTATAGTTAATACAATACTGTCCAAAAGATGACAAAACCAATAATCAATATTCACCAGATCCTAGTTTTCTTTTGCTTCAGTTACATACATAATCCTATACTACATATATATGTCTGCTCATATAATATTATATTTGCATATACAGAAGATTACTATATTATTCATCAATTATACCTTTCTTCCTTGAAAAGATGTCGTCTTGCTCTGTAAAGTGAAGTTTCAGTCAATGTTGGATTTTCACCATAAAGCTTTACCTGCCCAGTCTCTGCCATTGCTTTGAGGAAAACCTGAAGAAGTTGAAAGACAATATCAACGTGAAAGTCAAAGACCACTTTCCTTCTGATATTCCAGTTCCCCAGTTCGTTTATGAATTGATTACATGGGCGCTTTAACAAAAAATGAGCGTATATTGATATCATCCATATATATAATACAAGCAGCATTGCTTTTTGTGACAACCTCATGTAAACAAGATCCAAATGTTGAAATCCAAAATGATATGCATGGTTCAAATCACCTATACATAAAAAATTTGGCTTACAAATCCCTTGAATATGGCCCGTGAGCCTTAAATCATAATTTTCAAATTAAATACAATATTATCATATTTCTCCATTATATATACGAAAGCACTAACCGTTTCAGAATCGGGCCGTCTCCTTTGCCATCTGGACCAATTTTCTTTCTCTGGTTTTCTCCAGTTCCACCATAGTTCATCACTTGTGAGTGGCTCACCTAATGGCTTCTTTGTTTCTGGGTCAATAAAGGGATGAGGACGTCCGAGTTTCTTGTCCAGGTCAAATCCTGTTTCTTCTTCTTTTTCAGGTTCTGTCTGATAGACAACATATTCAGATGGGGTATCTTTAGGATCCTCTAGTGCGTCCTCTGAAGTTTCTGGTTCCAGCAGTTCCACTGCCACTGTATCACTTGACTCTACACTTTGTTCAGTAGATTCACCGGCAGCAACTGATGTTTTATTCTTCCTCCTCCTACTTCCAGGATCTTTACCATAAGACGGTGACCCAACTGACTTACCAGTCGGCTCAGGAGCCCTGGCAGCCCTAACTCGACTAGCTGTGCCTTCAGGCCAATAATCCTGCCCTGGAATGCTGGCACGAGCACCAGATGCAGGTTCAAGCTGCCCAGATGTTGAGTCCATATAACTATCATAGGGTGGACGCTCAATAGAGACCTCTTTGGAGGACTCATCATCCTTCTCACACTTTATACAAGGAAGTAAAGGTGCCCTCTTTGGCAATAGATTCGAGCCAACTCTAACTTGGAATAATCCAACTGGAAATGAACTTACAGTTGATGCCTGTACCATGCACATAAAATTATACATGACCAAATTAGCATGACGATAAATGGCTAAAAAAACCAATCAAGCTAAGAAGGAAAAGTTTAGCGGCAATGAAGTGTCTTTTATATTACAAATCACCCATGTTTAATTACTAAAGAAATCATTTCACATTGAAATAGAGATTGAGTATCGAAAGCCTAAAATTCAAGCAACACAAATAATAAAAATTAAAAGAAAAACAAGAAGAAATCCATAATAACCGGAGAGGCGTAGACACAAACACATATGTGTATATGTAAAGTTGAATAAATTGAGAAGAATATAAACCTTGAAGTGATTGAAACATGGCTTCCCAGAAGCATGGCTCTGTGCTGAGACTACGCCTATCATTCCCCTATCTGACAAAAGCACACCACCAATTGTGAAAAAAACGATACAAAAAAGTTTAGGGGGAGAGAAGGCTACCCCATCTCACGGCCAGCGGCCAGGCACACCACAAGCCGCTTTGAGGACTTCATACAAAATTATATTCGTTATTAAATAAGAACAAATGAGCACACCTTGATACAGCCAAGTTCCTGGTAGAGATGCCATTTTTCACTTCAACGCAGCATAAATATCACCAAAATCTGAAGAAAAAAAAAAAAAAACCCAATTTGACAAATTTACACTACTAACTGCTTTAATTGCAAAGAAACCGAAAAGTTCTAATCTTCACTACAAATCATTTTGTAACAAAGAAAAAAGTGGGAAAAAGGTACAGCCGAAATGAACTGAACTGAACTTTGAGGGAATGAAATGCACCTTTATATTCCGAATTTTGAAAACTGGAGTTGGAGAGCTTGGTTCAACTGCTGGCTAGCGATTCGTTTCTGTAGAGACGAAGGTTTGAATTGGTGTTGGGGATTAAAGTTCGGAGCTTTCGGTTATGGGGTCACCCGCTCCAGAGTGGGAAGTGAGGACGGAGAGGGCGACTGAGAGACAGGGTTTTGGAAAATTGGATAAGGGGCTTTGCTTTTATTTATTTAATTTTCTACTTTAAATAGTCCAACATGACTTTACTTAATAAGAAAAATCTTCAAACAATATGATTTCACGTTGCTTATCACGTCAAATAATTGTGATACAAAGTTTTTATCATTTTGATAATTTTCTTTTAGATACAAGACATTCGTCACGTCATTCGTAAAACGTTTAAATTTGAGATTTATAAATTTCAAGTATCATTCTACTTGATCCTAATCAATCGTAGCGATGTTTTAATATTTCAATTCAATTATACAAGGTATTTCTCTCATCTTTTCTTCTCTCCTTGTGATATAAAAATTAACACTATGTTTGAATGATGAAATTTAAGATTACTAAGAATTTTAAAATGACAGGATTTTATTTCTATGTTTATGAATCCAAATAAAAAAAAATAGTGCATGTTAACTTATAAATTATATATCCAAATTCTAAATTTATTTCTTTTGTTCGGATGAAAGACCGCTTTTTATAATTAGTTAACATTTTATTTAACAACAAAAAGGAGGTTGGAAGTTTGTTTAATTTGTTGCAACAAAAGAGGAGCATGAAACCGTGACATCATGGTGTGGAGGTTGGTGAAAGGAAAATAAAAACTCAAAAGAAAGGGAATGAAATCTACCGACCAACATTTCCCGTTTGAGTCAAATATCTTCTTAATTTCTCCCAATAAAATTTCCCTCTTTAATACAACATACCCTCCCTACCTTCCCCCACCCCCTTCTGCTCCTCTGCTCTGCGATCTGCCAATCTGCCAATCTGCCTAGGGTTTTTCTCGCCCATCTGCATTTCCATTGCGGGGTCTGTTCATCTGGGTCGAGATCGAACTGTTTGGAGAATGCCGGTGAGACTGTTGACATTTTTAGCTTTTCTGCGTTGAGATTTTTTGATGGGTTTTCTACTTTTCCTGCATAGTGTTGCTGAATTGTGACGTTGATTGGATTCTTGAACTCGATCTCTCCGAACCCATTGGGGGGGGTTCGAGTTCTCTCACTGTATGATGCTTTGTGTTTCTTGCCATTGTTGATTTGGATTGTATGTTTTGGATTTGGTTTCTTCTTGAGGATTTTGAAAACTTTGGTTTTGGAGTTTTTCTTGGGTTTGGAGCTTGAATTGGGTTTCTTTTTGTGATTGAAGAAATGGGTATTGGAGGAATTGTTCGGTGGTGGTGGTTGTTGTTGTAGATTATATTGTAGTCTGTGTATTGGTTTCGTAAAGATGAAGAGGCTAAAAGTTGAACCTTCAGTTGCGAGGAGGTTCAAGTTGCAGCATTTGTTGTTTGGTATAGCGGCATTGTACTTGGTCTTCATATCCTTTAAGTTTCCCCAGTTTCTTGAGATAGCAAAGACGCTGAGTGGTGATGATGGATTGGAATTGGTCGAAGATGTGGATTTGAGTAAACCGTTATTTAATTCTGTTTATAAGGACACTTTTCATCGCAAATTGGAAGACCAAAACCAAGATGCGCCTGTGAGGCCTAGTAAGGAACCTTTGGAAGAAAGTAAAGGTGGATCTAAGCCTATAAAGCCACTACAATATCAATATGGTCGGATCACTGGTGAGATTATGAGGCGAAGGAATAGAACTAATGAACTTTCGGTGCTTGAGAGGATGGCAGATGAGGCTTGGACATTGGGTTTAAGTGCTTGGGAAGAAGTGGGTAAACTTGATGGGAAGGAGATTGGAGAGAGTTCTATAATTGAGGGAAAACCTGAGTCATGTCCTTCATGGTTATCAATGAGTGGGGAAGAATTGGCAACGGGAGATAAGTTGATGTTTCTTCCTTGTGGGCTTGCTGCAGGTTCTTCAATTACGGTGGTGGGAACATCCCGTTATGCTCATGAGGAGTATGTGCCCCAGCTTGCAAAGTTGAGGAGGGGTGATGGAACAGTTATGGTCTCGCAGTTCATGGTTGAGTTGCAAGGGCTGAAGTCAGTAGATGGGGAAGACCCGCCAAAGATACTGCACTTGAATCCACGATTAAAAGGTGATTGGAGTAAGCAGCCAGTCATTGAGCACAACACCTGTTACAGGATGCAATGGGGAACAGCTCAAAGGTGTGACGGCTTACCATCCAAGAGCAATGAAGACATGCTAGGTAAAAAATTTCCATTGATTTAGAAGATAAAGTCCTACCCTTGTATTTCTGCAGCCATGATATTTGTAAAAAGGCATGAAGTTTCATGAAAGTACAAAACTAAATAAAAAAACATGAGTCTGTATTAATAATACTAATGCTGTTGATTCTGAAGATTATATATATAAACCATTGTCTATACCTTTTGGGTTGTGACATAACTTTAATGCACATATGTGGCAGTTGATGGATATGGGAGATGTGAAAAGTGGATGCGGAATGGTATGGACTCAAAAGAGTCCAAGACCAAGACTACCTCATGGTTCAAACGATTCATAGGGCGTGAGCAGAAGCCAGAAGTAACCTGGCCATTTCCGTTTACAGAGGGTAGATTGTTTGTCCTGACCATACGTGCTGGTGTGGATGGATTCCATATTAGTGTTGGGGGGAGGCATGTCACTTCATTTCCATATCGGATGGTATGTCGGATAAATGAGTAACTTACTTAAAGTGCTTATGCTTTGCCTCTGACATTGCACGGATGTGCTAAGGCCATAGTTATGATTAATGATCATATCTGTTCTTAAGCATCCGGTTGTGTCATTTCAGTTTTATTTCTTGTATTGTTTTCCTATTCCTTCCCATCAATAGTGATGCACTTTTTTCTAATTATTTTTATGCTTTAACTTTAGGGTTTTACACTTCAAGATGCCACTGGATTAGCAATTAAAGGAGATGTTGATGTTCACTCTGTTTATGCTACTTCTCTTCCCGCTTCTCATCCAAGTTTCTCACCTCAAAGAGTACTGGAGATGGCAGAGAAGTGGAAAGCTCGTCCTTTACCCAAGAGAGCTTTTCAGCTGTTTATTGGGGTTCTTTCTGCTACAAATCACTTTGCAGAGCGCATGGCAGTGAGAAAAACTTGGATGCAATCATCAGCAATCAAGTCCTCCAATGTAGTAGTCCGTTTCTTTGTTGCATTGGTAAGTTTATTGCTTTTAGCTATTCAATAATTGATTTTGTATTAAGAGTTGAGCAGTCAGGTTCCAGGATCTGGTGTGCTGACATTTTTACAAGATTATATCCTTTCTATTGCCAGAACAAAAGAAATCTTCTCCATTTATAAGGCTGGAGAACAAATACTACATAAGTCCTTTTTTCTTTAGAAGTATAACGTCCTTGAGTATTTATATCTCATCATGCATGAGAAGATATAGGTGTGGCTCTAATTGGTCAAAAGTGTGCGATTCAGTCTTCCAAGCTTTCTGTTTGTTATCTATTTTGAAGTTCTAGCTCCAATTGTAAACCTCTGTTTATGCTTGTAACTAATTTATCTGCTCCTTTCAAGCTTGGATTTGTTTGTGTTAAAAGATTCTTTGACTGAAAGAGAAAGAAATTCTGGATTGGTTCTGTTTCCCTTTCATAACGTCAGACAGGCCAGATTAATGTCTATATTTTATTGCGTAGATGCTGATGTAGATGTGTTTGAATTGTATGGGCTCAATTACCTGATATGGAATGTATGTAGTAAAGTTGATTGGATGAAAGAAAACTACTTGTTCTAAATGGAATGAGTTGATTCAAATTTTATACCTGCTTCATTTTACAATTTTATTTTAGAAAAAAAGTGAATTGTTCCTACAGGCGCAGGGCAGTGATAGCATGACCCACCCTTCAGTGGGGATTGACTTGAATTTTAGCCTTAGGGTTGTAACCTTTGAAATTTGCCTAGCAATAAAAAGAAACGAATTTGAATTACGGCACTCAGTGACTTGTATATTGATGAGTTTCAATCTTATATTGAAACTGTTTCTGTTTTATATGAATCTGTTCCTTCAATATTTGGTTTTACTAATTATTAAGTTTTGCAGAATCCAAGGAAGGAGGTAAATCAAATGCTGAAGAAAGAGGCTGCTTACTTTGGTGATATTGTTATTTTGCCCTTTATGGATCGATACGAGCTTGTTGTTCTGAAAACCATTTCTATTTGTGAGTTTGGGGTGAGTTCAGTTTATTCTCCAGTATTTCGTTGTTCAGTAAACATATTACATATATATTGTTATAAATCAAAAAGGTTATGTATCTGTAATTTAGTAAACCATTCAACTGGGCCTTTTTGAGTTTGTATTCGTTGTATTGAAAAGCTTTAACATCTTGATGCAGACTCAAAACGTGACAGCTGCATACATCATGAAATGTGACGATGACACATTTGTTAGAGTGGACACTGTCTTAAAGGAAATTGAGGGCATCTCTTCTAAAAAATCCCTTTATATGGGCAATCTTAACCTCTTGCATCGCCCTCTCAGAAGTGGAAAATGGGCTGTAACCTATGAGGTATGCAAGTTTGCGTGCACCTCTACTTAGTTTTCAAGTCATCCAGTTATCTGCTTTTGTTTAAGAGTTGCATTTGATAAGCTGTCTTGTGGGTTTTTGGAATGTCAAGAATGGTCCATCCGGTTTAGTAGGAGCTTCTTTTCTTAATCGTATATTCGGAAAATTGGATATAGTGGTTGGACCCCAGTCAATTACAGCTCCATGGTACCAATAGAATCGTATTGAATGGACAAGAAATAATTTCCATGCATAGGGCTCCTTCCCTACTGTTGTCGCTGTTATCTAATTGTAATTCATTTTTAGTTTTCCCCTGAGAGGATTAAAAGTTTTCAAAGAGGATGGACGTTAATCCCTTTATGTTTGTGATTTTTTCTTCTACTCTTCTTTCTCTCTCCCTCTGAAGCATTATTGTCTGTTGTGACAGGAGTGGCCCGAAGAAGTTTATCCTCCATATGCCAATGGCCCTGGATATGTAATTTCCATTGATATTGCTAAGTTCATCATTTCTCAGCACGTTAGTCATAGGCTAAGGGTAAGTTACTAATTGTCTGGCTTATTACCTCTGTTCGGAGGATGATTTCTTTCGTTTTCCTTCAGTTCCTGTTCAAAATTAATATGCATTGACCAAAAGAAAAGCTATAATATATGTGGTTGCTGAAAGATGTGTTTGGTTGCAGCTTTTCAAGATGGAAGATGTGAGCATGGGAATGTGGGTTGAGCAATTCAACAGCACCACAGCAATTGTCCAGTACTCCCATAACTGGAAGTTTTGTCAGTACGGGTGCATGGAGAACTACTTCACCGCACATTACCAATCGCCAAGGCAAATGATCTGTCTTTGGGACAAGTTGGCTAGAGGTCGAGCTCAATGCTGTAACTTCAGATGACACCGAGCCGCCTGCTTCACACTAGTAGATTGCAGCACTCTTCACCCTTCTTTCTGGTATCCTCACGCTTGTGCCAGTTTTTATCTACCAGATTCAATTGAAAGCACAAGCTCCTAACGATGAATCGCGAGAAATGATTTTTGTCAAAAAATGAATCATCGAAGAGTAGTATAGATTGTGTTGTAAAATGGGGCTGCTTGACAAATTCTCCCCACTACCACTAGATTGTACATTATGCTCGTAATCTTGTGATTTAACAAAAGATGTAGAATGTCTTATCCATTTGTGGTTGAGCAATTGCACCTCCCATCTTGATCATAAAACTACTAGTCACCATCTACCATGGCATCATATGCCAGCATTTCGCTTCGATGTGAACAGATTTTGCATTCGAATTTTGAGTAAAACATTGTGTTACTTATTTTTATCAAATCAACATGTGAAGGTTTTTTGTTGAGATAAAGTGGATTTCAAATACTCAAGGAAAATGTGTTTTTCTTTTTCCACCATCCTTTTTCGTAATACAAATTTTTGTTCTCTTCAAATTCAGTGTATGAAAAACATGCCATATTTTGCTACTTAACATTATAGTTGTAAGTGGGAGATTCTAAGTTTGACCTCCTGAATGGTAAGTTCGATATCAATTTATTATGAATGACCAATTCTACAATATACCGGTGTATCTCATCCACGGGTGCATTTTAGAATTCTCAAATAGAATATTGTTGTATATAAATGGGACAAAAAAAATCAACCACTGTGTAAATAGGTCAAGCTTTAGTTTTGGTGCGGAAATTAATCTCCGCCGGGAGAGAAAGTCTTTGCCTTTAACTATCAAAATATAAATTGGTGCCCAAAAGCGAAGCCATGCAAAGCACAAGCAATCTAGAACAACGTTCCCAAAAACATGGAGGAAAACCAAAGAAGCATTGGAAATATTGTGTCAGCTAGGAGTTTGATGAATTTCATTCCCCTCCAAATGACTCTAGAAGCTGCCATTGAGCTAAATGTCTTCAGCATCATTGCCAAATCAGGCCCTGCAGGATCTCATCTCACTGCAAAAGAAATCGCTTCCCAAATTCCGACTTCGAATCCGAATTCAGCCCGGAATTTGGACAGAATACTAAGAATGCTGGCCGTCCATTCCCTCCTCTCGACATCTCTAAAACCGTCTGCGGACGATGAGGCATTGCAAGACAGGGCTTATGGCCTCACAAAGGAGACACTTTGCTTGGTGCCGGATGAAAATGGAGTCTCATTAGCTCCATTGATTAGTTTCAACTGTGAGCTTGACATTGTGAAGAGCCTTTCCATGCTCAAGGATTCCGTGCTCGAACCGGAGATTGTGCCCTTCTACAAGGCTCATGGAATCACCATATTTGAGTACATGTCCACGAAAGCTGAGCTGAGCCAGTTGTTTAATAAGTCCATGGCAGAGAGTTCTAACCTAAATTTTGATGAGGTGTTGAAGGTTTATAAGGGTTTTGAAGAGGTGAAAGAGTTGATGGATGTTGGAGGTGGAATTGGAAAAACCATTTGGAAAGTAGTTTCCAAGTATCCCCACATCCATGGAATTAACTTCGATTTGCCTAATGTTGTTGCTCAAGCTCCTCCTTACCAAGGTTAGTAACTAAGTATCGTGAATTAATTAGAAAATAGATTTTATAATCTCGCCTTTTTTTTTTTTTACTTGTTTAAAGGAAGCAAGATTACACTCAATTATGGATGAGAACGTCTTGAATAGTGTCAGGAGGGTCCTCAAACCATAATAGATCTTTTTCAATACTAAACTTGACTTTAATATGACATGTATCACACGTAAAATTTCCTCCTTTATTCCTTACAGATTAAGATTAAGAATGAAACTAAAAGATTAGAAGGCAGTCGGTTTATTTTTTTTATATTCAAACGCTGAGTTTCGCTTGCAATAATAAATAATCTCAACAACTTGAGTTAAAAGCCTCTTACTTTGAAAAAAAAAAGAAAAGAATTATAAGCCTCTTGCCGCATACGATTATTTAGTTGTTATCATCATCTCATGTACACTTCTTAATTTTAATCAATTTGACCCCTAATTTGGTTATATAAATCATTATAAATACATACAGGTGTGAATCATATCGGTGGAAATATGTTTGAGACCATACCAAATGCACAATCAATTATGCTGAAGGTATGCATGGTTTGCTTCTAGCTTGTACTCGTTTTAATTGTTCTTTTTTTCCCATGAATTGTTGAAAATTAATTTATCATCAACCCAGATATAATCTTATACATGGTTTTCAGTGGGTGCTCCACAACTGGGAAGACGACCGGTGCAAGAAATTATTGAAAAGCTGTTTTGGGGCATTACCAAAAAATGGGAAGGTGATAGTTGTGGAATTTACAATTCCAGAAGTATTGGAGAATACTAAAGCAGTGTTGAACATAGTAACGTTGGACATCTCAATGATGGCATTGCCTGGTGGTAGAGAAAGAACAACGGCTGAATTTGATAACTTAGCAAAATCTGTAGGTTTTGTGGAAACAAAGATTTTTCCAATCGCACAGGAGATTTGTGTTATGGAATTTCTCAAGAGGGAAGAAGCATGATACAAATAGTAAACAAACAATGTGTCTTGGCTTATATTTTTTAGAACTTTAACAAAAAGTTCCCGATATTGTTCACTTTAACGAAAAATCATATTTTTACACTAAAAAGTCAATCTTGGTACTATTTATTTTACCCTTTATTTTGTCATTTTCATTAAAACTCAAAGTTTTCAAGCAATTTTCATTAATTTTCCTTATATTTTTTTATTCTGCATTAATCTATTATCTTCAGGTACGTTAATTGTTACTGTATCTATTTTTCTAATCATATGCATGATCTAGTTTTGAAATGAGCAGAAGAAGTTTATATCCTGTTTTTCAATTCTTTTATCTGAAAACTGTTACTATATACAAAATACTAAGGATAAATTACAAAAAATTATCTCAATTATTAGGGTCAGGTATCATACCTCATCTTTTAAAATTGACAATGTCATCCTTCATCTTTAGAATTTGGTCCAATGTTATACCTTCCGTTAGCTTGGCCGTGAATTTCCCAGTTAAATGCTGACGTGGCTTGATTCGATGCCCATTTTCTATTAAAAAATTAATAAAATATTAAAATAATAATAATTTACCCTTAAAAAAATAAAAATAAAAAACCCCCAAACACCCATCTTCCCCGACCCATTCCCCTTCCTTGCAACCCAAATCCAAAGCCCAGATCCCTTCCCTTTCCTTGCAACCCCCGACCCCTTCCCCACCCACGCCAACATCTCCCCCAAGACCCACCTCTCCCCACCTTTCCCTGCAACCTCACCGTCCTCCAGCTCCTCCCCTCATTCGTCAAGTTCTGCAAACCCCTTTCCACCGCCTCAGAATCGGCCCAAGATTCTTATCCGTGAAACTTCGACGCTCCGGCCAGACGCCGGTGTCAAATACTCTGACGATGACGTCGGAGCCATAGTTCGATTCCGACCACAACCCCCTCTGGTTCCTGAGCCCCAAAAATTGTGGGGATCGAGTAGTGTGGAGACTCCGGCGGCGGTCCTGGATCACAACAACACACTGAATGGTGGTCGGAGATGGCGGAGACCTGGTCGGGAGTGAGAGACACAGAGAAGCCGTGGAAAACGGTGTCGTAGACGTGGAGGATTTGGGGCAGGTCGGCGAATTCGAAGGTGTACCAGTGGTAGTGGGTGGGGAAAATTGAGGGCTTGGAGTGGCGGTCGATGCGGAAAATGAAGGTCTTGAGGGTTTGATCGGTGGCCTGCGGGGCGATTTGGGCTGAGAATTTGAATACTGTGAGGTTGGACTGCTTCCATTGATTCGGCCTCGGAGGCTTCGATTACGAATCTGGGTAGGTCCATTTCGGGAAGAGGGGTGGGCGGCAGATAATGAGGATGTGGGTTGACGTGGGTGGGGAAAGGGTCGGGGGTTGCAGGGAAGGGGAAAGGATCTGGGTTGCAGGGAAAGGAAAGGGGTCAGGGGAAGATGGGTGTTTGGGTTTTTTTTTTTTTTAAGGTAAATTATTAATTTTTTAATTTTTTAATAGAAAATGGTCCCGGATCAAGCAATTTAACTGAGAAATTCACTGTCAAGCTAACGAAAGGTATAATATTAGACCAAATTCTAAAGATGAGGTATGACCTTGTCAATTTTAAAAGGTGAGGTATGATACTGTCGTGACCCCAATAATTGAGGTAGTTTTTTGTTATTTACCCAAATACTAATTAAATACACATTATTCAGTCTATAATATATATATATATATATATATATATATATATATATATAACCCATTAAAACATGATTTAACCCTTTTTAATAGATAATACTTGAGTACTACTCACATTTTAATTTTGTGCAATGATATTTTAACACATGTTTAATTGTTATAAAAAAGTAAATTATAGCAATGGTCCTTTAACTTTAACTCAATTGGAACAATGGTCCAACAACTAAAAATCAAATATCATTAGCCCCTCAACTCATCAAAACATGCAGTTATGGTCCCTCAACTAAAAATCCATTACCATTAGTCCAACTTTAATCTAACTGGAGAAATGGTCCCTCAACTTTAACCCAATTGTAGCAATGGTCATTCCAACATAACTCATTTTGACAAAATTCTGACGAAGTTAAACAAAAATGACCATATCTACACTTTTTGATGAGTTGAGGAACTCTAATTGTAGCAATGATCCTTCCAACATAACTTATTTTGACAAAATTCTAACAAAATTGACGAAAAGAACCATAGCTACACATTTTGATGAGTTGAGGGACCAATGATAATAGATTTTTAGTTGAGGGACCATTGCTCAAATTTGATTAAAGTTGAAGGACTATGGCTACGATTTACTCTGATAAAAAATAATGGACATGTTATTAATTTTTCTTTGGGATTAATAAAAATGAAACACGTGACATTTTTTTATTGAGCCAAATCAAAAAGTGAGTATTCATTGATAATACCTAAGTATTTTCCTTTTCAATAAGCAAAATTTCTACTCAAACTACATTAAAGAGTGGAAAGATAATTTGAATCTGAAACACAATGAGTTAAAAAGACCGATCATAATCACTGTGATAATCCACCACTCATGCCTTGCATTAGACATGCCCTAATCTATAATTCTTTAAAATCTTCAACGCTGGTGACAACCTTTCATTTCGTGGCTACCTCTAGCTAGTCCAATGCCCACTTGAATTCGTTGATATATATTAATTAGGGATGTGTAGTCGGTGAATTTGCCAAATATTACACGAAATGTTGGTGAATTTGCTAAAAGTCGTGGCTAGTTACACGAAATTAAGGGTGATAATTATAACCCTTACTAATGGTCTTACATGTGGGGGTCCTTCATTTCTTCTCCCTTACTAATGCTCTAACGGTATTCTACCTTCAACATTCCATGGACAATGTTTGAGAGTTTCCATCCATTCCTTCCAATTTGTCTTGAGTTTGGTGGGTATTTTTTGTCAAAGAGTTTGAGACGAAGACTTGGAAAGAGTAATTAACGAAAAATATGGAGTATTTGGAGCTAACAAAAGATACGTCGCAAAACCGAGCGCTGTGATGTTCTATAATCCATATAGCCGACCTCACCTAGTGAGATAAGACTTGATTGTTGTTGTTGTAAAGAGTTTGGTGAGTTATCTACCTAAAAACCTACTATTCTTGGAGGCCATATATGGTTAGGCGCCCCTTAGCTAAACCCAGCTGGCTAGACATGCTCACCCACTTTTTTCCGCTCAAAACGACGTGTATCATGCATGCAAGTGTATCTGTATATATAGAGAACTGATGCTCGGAGCCAAAATAAACAAGGCAATCCAACAAACTAAAATTGACTGAGAGCTTGAAAATCCAAAAAAAAAAAAAAGATGGAAAGCCAGGGATTAAGTTTAGAAAATTACATCTCAGCTTGGGGTTTGACAAATTCCACCTGCAATCAAATGGTTCTAAGAGCTGCAGTTGACCTAAGTGTCTTCAATATCCTTTCCAACTCAGGGCCTGGAGCTCATCTTACTGCGGAGGAATCGCTTCTCGAATTCCGACTGCAAATCATCCAAATGCAATGTTGAGTTTGGAGAGAATGCTAAGGTTGCTGAGCGCAATTGCCTCCTATCTACATCTCCAAGGCCATGCCCCAGATGATAAGTCCAAGCAAGAAAGGACTTATGCCCTAACAAAGGACTCGCTTTGTTTTGTTTCCAATGAGAATGGAGTTTCTCTAGCCCCAATACTAAAGCTATCATCGAGCACTGAGTGCTTGAAGAGGGGTGCGATCCTTTCTACAAGGCCCACGGAGAGACTACATTCGAGCATATGTCAAAGAGACCTGAGCTTGGTCGATTGTTCAGTGAGGCTATGACCGCTTACTCTGCTATATGTTTTGATCAAAAGGTATTCACTGAATATAAAGGTTTTGAAGAGGTGACAGAGCTGATGGACGTAGGAGGTGGCACATGGGTAATTCTCTTGCGAAAATAGTATATCTAAATATCCCTACATCCATGGTATTAACTTCGATTTGCCTGATGCTATTGCCCGTGCTCCTAAATATCAAGGTTAGTATATCCAAAGAGAACTGAAAACTGAAAACCAATTGAAAATTAACAAAAGTGGTTTTCGGTTTTTGGTTTTCAAAATTTGGCTTGATTTAAGTTCTCTATTGTCATTTTTTGAAAAAGTGAAAACAGTTACGATACAAATTTTTGGAAAAAACAAGAATTGAAATAGAAAACTGAAAACTAAAACCAAAATATAAAGAATTGGCTAAAGCTGAAATACTTAAACAAATAGCCTTTAATTCACACACTTTCTTATTTGAATTATGGTCCAAATGCAACAGCTACAGATCCTATTTAACTATTAGTTGGCTCACGTTCTTTACTGATTTCATTTATATATAGGTGTGAAGCATGTTGCGGGAAATATGTTTGAGTCAATACCACATGCTCAGTCGATAATGATGAAGGTTCGGTTTTGCTTACTTTTAGTAGTTATTGAAGAAAATGTTAGCGGAACTACATTTTACCATCTCTTTAATAGAGATGGCCTCTGTTTGTATTAAAAAAGTAGTACGATGTGGACGTCGTCTCCTTAGCATTACTCTTCATCAAAACTACTTCATGCATGTTCACAATATGAAAATTTGATTTACCCTTGTGCTTTGCACTGGGTACTTCATAACTGGGCATGACGTGTGCATTAAGTTGCTGAGAAACTGTTGGAATGCGTTACCGGAAACTAGGAAGGTAATAGTTGTGGAATTTGTAGTACCTGAAGTACTGGAAAATACACCAGAAACAAGGAACACACTCGCCTCGACATGATGATGATGGCCCTTTTTCCTGGGGGCAAGGAGCGAACAGCAGTTGAATTTAATAACCTAGCAAAATCTGCAGGTTTTGTTGGAACAAAGCTTTTTCCAATTTCATATGGATATCATGCGATTGAGTTTATCAAGGGTAAACCATTCAAAAAGTAGTGTGCATCTGTGTGTGTATTTATATACACCACATCTCCTTCCTTTATAATGTGCTAGATCTCGGGTTTCCTCGGTCCTAAAATAAACTCTTGTACTACAAAAAATTTATGAAACTGATACTCAAATAATAGTTTTTGTGATCGGTGATACATATTTTGTTTATGTCGTAGTATTATTATGTAATTCAAGATTGCTCATGAGTAGTACGAGAAAAAATTATTGATATAAAAAATACAAGTTACACTTAATCAGAAAAAACAAAAATCTTACCTCCCGTAAATTAGAAACGAAGAGGGAACAAATGACTCTTTTGCAACTTGAAGAAAATAAATATAAGAAAAGAGGAAGAACAAAGAACCAAAATTCCTCTAATACAAAACTTAAGAAGTCACTGCAGCCAAGCGACAATCACCAAACCATATTAAAAAAAAAAAAGATTACTTTAACGAAAAAAAAAAAAAAGGAAGTACAATGTAGTTTCTTCCATGTATAATCAGGTATCAGTACCACCACGTACAACAAAAATAGGATCCCACTTTTCTTGTGTCTTACTGGTGTGTCATCATTTGAGCCACAAAAAATAGGAATGCAATGCATTATTGAAAGGAAAGGGCCATCAAATCCACTAAATTCATCAATTTGGACCCTTAAAATTTGAGCTAACGGCTAAAAACAGAGATATCTTTCAAAAATAATAATAACTTTAGCCGTTACATCAAATTTCAAGGACCCGAATTGATGAATTTAGTGAATTTGATGGAACCCTTTCATTATCGAAAGAGCTTACTAGAATGGAACCCCACTTTTCCTGTATTTTACGAAAAATAGGAATGCAATGCATTATTGAAAGGAAAGGGATCCTCAGATCCCTTCCATCAAATCCACTAAATTCATCAATCTGAACTCTTAAATTTTGATCTAACGGCTAAAAATAGAGGTCTCTTTAAAAAATTATAATAACTTTAGCCGTTAGATCAAATTTCAAGAACCCGAATTGACGAATTTAGTGACTTTGATGGAAGGGATCCGAAGCAGATCTCTTTCCTTATCGAAAGAGCTTACTAGAATGGAACCCTACTTTTCCTGTATTTTACGAGAAATTCTGCAATGTGTTTGGAACACGAGATGATACGTTACGTATTATTATACAAGTGGTGCAATACTTGTATTAAAAATTAATAACATAAAAAAATAACATTTCTCTGTATTTATATAATGACACGTGATGTACTATATATACATATTTCGAACAAAATGAAAATTTTCTCGTGTTTCACAGGTAGTTTTCATTGATTTTGTGTGGGATCAATAATTGGAAAGCTTTCAAGTCTGCTTGCTTATCAACCAAGGAAGCAATCATTGTTTTCATATTGAATCATAGCATACAATAAAGGAATTGGATTCTCTGCCCTCCCATTTCGGTGCTCTCCCCGTGCCCTCCTGTTTTGTGTGGTCACAGTTAATCCATGCTAACATTTTATATTGTTTTTTATAAAAATAATAAGACAAAAGAAAAATAGTAATATAAAATATTGACGTGGCTTAACCGTGACCACACAAACAAGAGGGCACGGGAAGGGCACCGAATTGGGAGGGCAGAGAATCCAAGTCCTACAATAAATCAGCTAATAGTATTAAGTACAGTTGCTCGTATGCATGCAAGCATAAATGAGTTTAACCGCTAATGTATTGAAGAGTTTGATGGATCCAACCGTAACAATCCAGCTGAATCGTCATCCACTCACATAATTAACGTATTGTAAAACATGTGAGTGGCATACGACTTTCATCTGTTACTACGATTGGAAATTGGTCCTTATAATATATTTAGGTTATCTCTAACGAAGGGTATAGAGGATCAGAGGGTCGAAAATAGCCTGAAAACCGTCTCCAACCGAGGGCTAGGCCAGATGACTCGTAGGCCCCATGGAATCTGAAAGGGCTAAAGGGCCAGAGGGTTAGCCCTTTCCAGCCCCGGGCTGGCCATAATTTTGCTTAAAACTGTCGGATATAATCGACATGAATAATTTTGTTTATCGCAATAGTGTCGGTTATAACCAACACCAATAGTAATTGCTAGACAGGAATAATTTTGATTAATTGCAATCATGTTGGTTATAACCGACACGAATAATATGAAAATTTTGAATACAACGGCTAGCTGAGTCAGCTAGCCGTTGCATTCAATTATTTTTTTTATTTATGAATTTAAACCTTTTTTTTCTATAACTTCCTATAACTTCTATTTTACAAAATTTGTTTCATATTTTTTTTCCTATAACTTCTATTTTACAAAATTTGTTTCATATTTTTTTTTAAAATCTATTTTTTTCCTATAACTTCTATTTTACAAAATTTGGTGCATATTTTATTTTTTTAAATTCTACTTTTTTCCTATAACTTTTATTTTACAAAATTTGTTTCATATTTTTTTTAAATTCCATTTTTTCCTATAACTTCTATTTCACAAAATTTGTAGTTTTTAAATAATAAATTATGTTTGGCTCTCGGTTGGAGACGGAGATAAATATGATTATGTACTGTTTATTAAAATATTAATATCTTAGAATATCAGATGGTTAAAATGAGTCATCTGGCCAATCCTCGGTTGGAGATGACCTGACTATTTTTAACATAAACTAGGTAAAACTTGCCACATCCATACGTGGGTCGAACTCCTTCGGTCCGGTCCTTCTCATACAACAGTCCTTCTCAACCTCCATACTGTGCTCCCACGTGTAACGGCCCCACGAGTCTCTTGTGCACTGCGTGGCATCAAATTACAATCTGTAAGCTCTGCAAAAACCGACAAAACAAATACGCGGAAACAACACTGACTCGTATCGGACAAAAACAGAAAGAAATCCACTTATCCGAAACTGGGTCCCTCCACGTCAGTTGGGACCTTTGCAACGGATTGCGTTACGAACGCGCAACGGTCATAAGTCACGTACACTGTTTGTCGGCAGAGTACTTGTGTTGACACGTGTTGGCTGGCATTTAAGACAACTGCTGGTTTGCATTTGAGGGTGAATACTGACGTTGAGGTGGCATGGTACCCAAGTTCCAACTAATACCTAATTTAAAGCCGTAACTTTCGTCAAATGCCAACTTTCGCAACCTAACTTTTTTTTTTTCTTTTCTAAAGGGCGATATTATCAACATTAAATTAAGAAAAAAAAAAGTTTAGTTTACATTTAACGAGAATCTAAATTTTTTAACTTACAAATCCCTTATTTTTTCAATTCAATCGCTCTTTTAATTTTGAAAAATCTTTTATCAATATGCTGTCTTCTTTTACACATTTATATCTATCCATAATGAATAATAGCTAATAATTAGAACTCATAAAACATTTATAATCCACTCATCGAAAAAGTTTTTCCCGTATTAAGCACTAATATATTTTAGAGGCCTAAAATTTGAACAGCAGCTTTCGATATCTGCAAGACCTGGACAAATTGACAAAATAAAAATATTTAAATTATTATTATTATTGTTTTATTGTCAAAAAAATATAGATTAAATTATTGGAAAAGAAGATCTTGAATCTCATATATTTACCGTTTCAAAATAGAGGTAAGGGCCATTTTGTGGACACTCCAAAGTAGGGCTGAAAAACATGAACCCGACCGAATCATATCGAAACCCGACATAAAAAAAGAAAAAACCAAACCGCGCCGATATTATCTTGTGGACACTCCAAAGTAGGGTCGAAAAAAAAAAACGAAAAAAGGAACCCGACCGAGTCATATCGAAATCCAACTTAAAAAAAAAAAGAAATGGAACCGATATTATCGAATCATTTGGTAACTGAAATTAAACACTCTTGAAACATCGGTATTGAAATTAGGATCACCGACGTAAGTTTGGTAATATCGAACCGAACTGAATATAATAAAAAATAAGAAAAATTAACAAAAAGTCTATAAAAATTTTCATTTTAATAAAAAACCCATTTTAAAGGTATAGTAAATAGTAACGGTTAAAGGTAAAAATGTGGCTTTTCGTTAAAAGTGAATCGGTAGTGTTTTGTTAAAACTCCCTAAAAAATATACATACATGAAATTAGAAATTTTGAAAAGAATGAGGGATTTTTTTTTCAAAGAGTATAATATTATTAGTTACGAATTGAAATGTTTACATCATGTGCCAGAGTATTAAACAACCACTTCGGTTCAAAACAATCCCACCTATGACATCCCCCACACGCGTGATGTGAGTTGTCACCAAATGCGTAGCTCCATTACAAGAGCGAGAGGTGAAAAGAAACTCAACTGAACTTCGGTGATTTTGAATTGGAATTATGGTTTTCGACTTGGGGATTTTGAGATTGAAATATGGTTTCCGAATTGCGGTTGAATTTTAGAATTTAAGGGTTTAAGAATTTGATAGTCGTTGTCATTTCTTGTGTTGCATAAGCTGTTTCCAAAATTTGAAACCTCATACAATTTGAAGCATTTTGAAACCTCCTGCAATTTCCCCTCCTTATTTTTCAATGGGACCCTAAAAATTCTATACTTTTTCTTGCATTCCTCCTCTTCTCACACGGTTATTTTCTTTAGTTACTAATACCAAGTTAGTATATTTAAGAAAAAAAAAGAGCTATTTGACACAATTTAATCCCAAAACCTATATGATTAAAATAAACCCAAAAGACACATGTCCAAGGGCTATTTGACATAATGCAATCGCAGAAATGGGTGTTAGTGGTGGAAAGGGTACATGTTTTCCTTAATACGAAAGACTTCAAATACCAATTATGGGTTTAACTTTGATTAAAACATCTCACAAATATAATTGTTAGATGCCAATACAGAGCAGTAGAATTTTCTTCCATTCTAATCTCTCTTTCTATTTAAGCTTTACGATTAAAACAAGTTAATATCTTACTTTGAATTGTTTATACAGAAAAAAAAACAACAAAAGAGTATAAGAGAAGAGATGATAAAACAAGAGAAAAGAATCCACCCACATACAAAAAGAAACAGAATCACAAAAGATTGTTTTTTAAGTCGAAAAAGCACTTGGCCGACCTCACTCACCAAACACTATCTTTAATATTTAACATGAAAAGTCACATTGAAAGGCCAGCCATTTCCACTGCATTACCCGCATATTATTCTTCTTTTGTAAATGATTTCGACTC